GCAATGAGTCATGGGTCTGGTTCGACGCCTCTGGCTTCTGCTACACTTAGGATACTGAGCCCTCACTGGAACTCCTCTTGTTGCCCTGGGCTGTGGAGATCCGGCAGTTCTGAATCTGCAGGTCCAGTCCCTTCACATGCTCCAGGAGATTATAGATGGGGTGGATGTTGGGGTGCACCAACTCATAGCCCTTCTTCTGGGCCTGGGTGGCTGCAAGGTTCATCAGCTCACCAGCTCTCCAGCTCTCCCCCAACCTCATCACCATGGCTGAACTCCTCAGCACTACCTCAGCTGCAGCACTCACAAAAGTGGGCCCTGTACCTTAATACATAAATACATAAAGATACAGTTTTTAAAATCCAGTTTCGCTGGGCAGTGGTGGGACATGCCTTTAATTCCAGCACTTGGGAGACAGAAGCAGGTGAATCTCTGAATTAAGAGACTAGTTTGGTCTACAGAACAAGATCCAGGAAAGCCAAGGCTACACAGAAAAACCATGTCTATAAAAAACATGGAAAAACAAAATCCAATTTGACTAAAATGCTCCTTTGTGACATTCTTATAACACTCACATATAGTTACCTCCTGTCTCTGCTTCACTGGATTAGGAGTAAATTTTAAAAACAAGGTCATACTCTATAGCCCAGGCAGTACTCAAATGTGAGATGTTCCTACTTCAAGAATGCTGGAAATACAGGTATGCACCATTATCCCTGGCCTGACTATGAGCACTTTCATTTCACCAACCTTGGAAGTTATGGTTAGTACTTGGTAAACAAATTATGTACATAAACCATTAAATTCAGAAATTATTATTTAAAATCAAAATGTAATTCATCAACTGTAAAAAAAATAGCCAAATGCTCAGTTACATAGTAACCAGAATATTAGTGTGCTATTATAAAGAGTTTCTAGGGGCTGGAGAGATGGCTCAGAGGTTGAGAGCATTGTCTGCTCTTCCAAAGGTCCTGAGTTCAATTCCCAGCAACCACATGGTGGCTCACAACCATCTGTAATGGGATCTGGTGCCCTCTTCTGACCTGCAGGCATACACACAGACAGAATATTGTACACATAATGAATAAATAATTTAAAAAAAAAAAAGAGTTTCTAGTTAACAGCTAAACATCCCAATTCTGGCTTCAATCTACCTCCCCTGCTTATCAGAACAAGGTATTAATTTCACTACCAAAAAAGCAATAGCTTCAGAAACGATAGAGGAAGAAAATCAAAATGCAAAAGTTTCAAATAATGTCAAGCTACTCTATATCTACCATCTTATGATAGAAGATGGAGGTATTAGATACATGTTAAAAATGTCCCCCTTACTCTCGCTCGTGTGTGTGTGTGTGTGTGTGTGTGTGTGTGTGTGTTTGCATGTGTATGCATATCTTTGTAGAAGCCAGAGGTCAATGTTCGGGGTCATTCATCAGAAGGTACTTCCCTTTTTGAGACAGTCTCTTTCAAATGAATCTGGGACCCCTTTAGTTAGGCTATGCTGGCTGGCCTGTAATCTCCAGGGACTGGCCTGTCTCTTTCTACCCTCTGGGATAACAAATGTTTGCCACCAGACCAGGCCATATACCAGATTGCTGAGCATCAAACTCAGCTCCTCATGTTTGCATGCCAGCACGTTACCAATTGAACTATCTGTATAACTCCAACATTGCATTCTCTTATAGTTGAGAGAATTGCTTTAAATATGTGAGATGCAGGACAGAGCTTCTCCCTTACACTTCTCTAGGGTACTTTCTCTCCTTTTCAGTTTAACAAAATACATGCCATGGTTGATATCAAACTACTAATCAATCTAAGAGCCATACTCTTTAATAGCATGTTACAATGTTGGCCTAACCAGAAAGTTATATAAAATCCAAAACTCTAATACTAATATAATATTTAAACTGCATTGGATTATTGAAAGAACTGACTCCCCAAATAGAAAGATGGATGGATGGATGGATGTGTGGGTGGATGGATGGATGGATGGGTGGGTGGGTGGATAGATAGAGGACTCATTAGAAGGATACATATCTGAAAAAAATGAAATAAATTCTGTTAAGATTTGACTCAAATAACCTTAAACAGAAGTCATTACAGTTCTGAATGACCAATGTGAAAAAGGTCTCACTGTTAGCCATCAATAAGCTGAGAATATGAATAACTGTCACTTTGCCTACAAAAACATACCCTATATTCTCATTTTTTCCAGATCCACAAGCAACTAAATGAATGCAATTGCATCAGAAGTCTAATAGTTTAAAAAGCCATTAGACTACAGTGATCCAGTTAATTTTTATTATGTATACAATATTCTGTCTGTATGCCTGAAGGCCAGAAGAGGGCGCCAGACCTCTTTACAGATGGTTGTGAGCCACCATGTGGTTGCTGGGAATTGAACTCAAGACCTTTGGAAGAGCAGGCAATGCTCTTAACCACTGAGCTATCTCTCCAGCCCCTCCAGTTAATTATTTAACATGGCAGAAACTTCTGTCATGGCTGAACAGTGCATAGATATTGTGACCTAAACTTTTTATCCCAGCAGGATTTCCTTGTATGGCTCTTCATTGTACCCAGTGTTTTCTCTTCTCCCTTCATCAGACTCCTCAATTCTCCCACCGTCATCTCCTTTGCTGTCTTTTGAACTGCAATGGTTCTTTTTCTTTCTACAAGTCACAGATGGTTGTAAAAAACTTAATAAAAGGTATGAAACTCAGAAAAATAAACATTTCCAATTTTTGTCATATAATTTGAAAAGTTTTGAACCCCTAAAAGCACAATAACCCAGATAAATAATTTCTATTGCCATATGGCTGTTTTATAATCACACAGAACTCCTTTACACATACTCATAATTGAGAATTATAGTCTACATAATATATAGCATTAATGTTTTAAAATTTAGCCTAAAGTCTTATACTTTCAAAACTTTAAGTTAAGAATCTCAGGTGAACTCTTCCCTAAAAAGTTTACCAAATCATATTGCTTGGTAAAACTGTTTGTCTTAAAATATGCCATAGTGTCTTCCTGTTTTTATTAGTGTGAAACGTTGGTTTATAGAAATCATGTAAAGCTCAAAAATATACTTGATGGGGAAAAAGAAAATTCATGTCAGTATTATGCTCTGGGTTCCAATACTTGATCTACTGCATCAAGCTATGTTCACTATGGAGCAGTGAAGTTGGCTGGGAACTGAAAGTGATGCTATCTCATAATCATCTAGCTACCTTGTCAAATCAAGGAAAACATGAAAGAGGAAATAGGACAAACAGCCAAAGCGTGGGAAGAATATTACCAAGGTGTTCTTACTAATTGAGATAAATGTTTTTCCTTTAGCGTCCTCCAAATTGGAAGATCCTTACTAGATGAATAAAACTACTTATGAAAACTATCCTTTAACTTTTCTTTTTAATTAAACTTTTTACTGCTGACCAGTTTGTACTGGGACAGGTATGGGGGAGATAGAAGTAAGATCATTCTTTTACCACAAAATTTCAAAGCCACATCATTAAAACTTTGACTACTTGGATGGGTTGGGCGTGGTAGCTCATACTCATAGCAAGTTCCAGAATAGCAAGGACTATATAGAAAGACCCTGTCTCAAAAAGAAAAACAAAACAAAAACAAGTTAGATTCATTCAACTCTAGAAATACACTCAGAACTGTTTTCTCGAACTCATTATTGTGCAGACACTCATTATGACTGTGTTAGTACAGAGAGTCAAAAAGGCTGTGACTCCATTTCCTTATTTGTAAACGTGGGGGTAATGGAACACGTTAAGCAAGTGATTTCTAGATCTGTCTCGGGTTTGTATGGAATTGATGAGATTTTAAATTTACAATATTAATCTAGCACAAGTCCTTTCCCACATAATGGATATGTCCTAATGTCTGACCCCTGTTTTCCTGTATTGACAGTCTGTAATAGGAAAGCAAATAGGAGCCAAAAGAGAAGTGCAAGTCCAGACCAAATGGCCAGAAGCCACAGGAAATGGTTTGAGTTGCATGTCACTGTCTCACCCTCTCTTCTATTATAATCAAGTTGTTGCTTACAGCTGGAATATAGACATGCATCATGTGGTTTGTGCTTGGGATGTGGACTGGGAATCTTCTGTTTCAAAAGGCTCATGAGAGGCTGAAAAGTTTATTTGCTGAATCTGTGCTGGAAACCCCTTTCTCCACATTCCACTGAAATGAGAAAGTTTACAAAAAAGAGGAACCCTTTTAACTGATGAGCTGAAGAAACCCCAGTATTTCTCAAGCCAATACGAGGCCCTGTAGATCTCATGGCTTTTAGCAGGAAATGAACTACAGCTACTGGTCCACACTGTCAGGACTGTCAGACACATACAGGGCTTTTGAGCATTCTCAACCAAGTGGAAACACTGTGTCGGAATAGTCGGGGGTGGAGGACCTCGCCTAGTCTCCAACTCCCAAGCTCCCCTCAAGCCACAAGGTTCCAAGGAAATGTTTCTTGGGCGAGCACATGGTGGGGGGAACGCACGCAGGCAGGCGCCTCTTCCTTGGATTTCTGGCAAAGTCGAAGGACCGGGAACCTATGTTGTGCTTCTCGATTTAAGTCGCTACGAGTGGGCTCCGATGTGTTCGAAACGGAGAGGAAGGAGGTTTCCCTTGCCCTGGACCCCAAGTGTTAAGAGGCCAAACAGCAACTGACAAGAGGTGGGAGGGAAATGGAATCCCGCAAAGAAGGTTCGCGCCCACAAGTTACACAAACAGCCCTACCCAGTACTCTAGGACACGACGAGGGGTGTCCCCAAGTCGGGGTGGGGCCTTTCTCCTTCGCAAACTGACACGAGAGAGGGCCGGGTTAAGAGGAGAAAGGGTGCTCTTCCGCCCCCAAGCCGTCTCCGTTCCCCGAGTTGCGCGGCGAGACCACGGTTGCAGCTGGGAGGGGGGCCCGGGTCCCCCGCGTGTTCCACAGCAGGACGATTCGGGGCTCTCGGGTCCCCGAGACCGGCTGGGGTTGCGGGAGCACTTACCAATTTGGGTTTGTTTTTCGTTTCCTCTTCGTTGGCGGCCCGGTTCCCCGCGCTCCGCTTGTTGCTCCGGCCCACGCCGGGTTCCTCGCCGCCGCCTCCAGCTCCCGACGCCGCCGCCCCGAACTGCTCCATCTTTCTCTGGCCCTGTCACCTGCCGCCCTGGAACCCCACGTCTCCTCAAGGGCAAAAGCCCCTCGGAGCGCTCCGGATGTCCCGCGTCCACAGAAAGAGAGGGTTGCCCGCCAAGAGCCGCTCCCAGGCCCCCGTGTCTCCCCAATCCCAGGCTACCCCGACGCAACCACTCCAGAGCTAGCACTCAGAGCTGGGGCAAGCCCTGCCCCTAAGCAGCTGCAATCACCACGGTCGCCTCCGCCCTCAGGGCGGTGTTTGGGGTGGAGGAAAAGTAGGTGCCTATCTCTTTAAGACGGCCTCAACACACGTGATTCATCAAAGTGCCCGCTGTCGGTTGCCCGGGCGGGCGCCTCAGAAAGCCTCTTCCGACTCCTGGTGCTGAGCCGGCCAGGCTACTGAGCATGCCCGGAGCGGCGACTGGAGCCTAACAGAGGACATTCTGCTGTGGTTAAGCACTGATTTCACTTCCTGATTGGCCTAGCACCAAATGGAAGAGAACTAGTCTAGACGGAAAAAGGGGAGCCCATTTTAGAGATAGGGAAACTGAGTGAGGAGGATTCTCATTTGCATTTTACTGAGGAGGCCTACTGCGTCTCAGGCTTTCACTACTGTTGGCCAATGCACCTTCCTTAGTCAGAGGGCCCTTAGGGGATGTGCTCTTGCTACACTCTGTGGGAAGGTTTAATTAGCAAGGCAACTGACAACGTGTAGGAAAACCACTGGGAGTTCTGATTAATTGCCTAGACAGATTGTATGGGTCAAAGTGGAAAGAGTGGGTGCTTCTGTTTGCCATGATTGCTTTGTGGCCAAAGAAATACAGTCATTGCTTTCTTTCCGGGCTGTTAGTGGTTAAAGCCACCAGTCCCTCACCAAGTAATCCATGGGGTGATATTAAGCTCTTTAACCAAAGCACTTCTTTACAGTTTACCACTGAACTGTCCTATCTGCGATTTCCCAAGCTAGTTTAGATTCAGAGTTATTGTGAAGAGTCAATAAGATCTTGTGTGTCATAGCTTTATTTAAAAGATAAATCCCTAGACAACTGCCGGTGTTGTTATGCAGCACCAGCAAGCAGCATATATTGTCCTCAGCCCTTGGTGCTGTCCCTCCTTTTTCATCGTCAGGAACTAGATTTCCCCATTCTTTTTCAAAGAAAAGCAGGGTTTGAAAGAACCACCAAACCATCACGGAATTAGGAACCAAGTACTGGGGAAGCCACTTGTAATATAAGTTTAAACACCAAATCCACAAGCGTTCCCATAACTGTTAATGACTAAGCTAACTTTAGGCTGTGAGTTCTTTAGACCTTCTACAGTTCAATTTGAAGTTCGTTATACTGAAATGAATTTGTGTCAGAATGAATAGAGTGAGTATTTATTAGGATGAATTTGACCATCATATGGGTGTGGTGACGCAAATAACGAACTGTGGAGTGAAAGGATTTTAGATATCTCAAAAGAGCTCAAATACCAGCTTTGTCTTTTATCATTAAGTTTCATTTTAATCCTGCAGGCAGTAACTCTCTGTTCCTGAAGTAGCCAGCTACCCAAGGACGGCAGCACGGGAGGGTACGCTCTCAAAGATACATTTGCTTTCTTGAAGATCATGCTTAACTTTGAATTTGATGTGTATTTTGAATTTGAGTCATTATATACATACACAATTGAATTTATCTAAATGTCATACCACCTAAAGTACTGAGTTAAAAAATAATAGGAGCTGCAGAAAGATTATGAATGGTATGGCCAACAATTTGACATACTTCTTGTAGAAGAAATGTGGGTATAGGTCAAAGCGAGTGGCCACCAAGTTTAAACATTGCTCAATAATCTGTTCAGCAAATATCTTTATGCCAGATGGTATAAAAAGTTCTCTGTGTTGGAGGGCTAAAGCTGACCTAATTTCTGCCCTTTATGTTACTAGAAGAAAAAGGCTAAAAGAATTGCATCATGGGACAAAAATAGGTGACAGGGAATGCATGCAGTACATATGTCAGAGGCTCAAGAGCACCTTCCAGAAAAAGATAAGGCTTGACTTAACTGTTAAAAGTCTACTTAAAGTCATGAAGTACCAGCAACCTAGTACTACAAATGTAGTTTATTTTCATGGAACTCTCAGGCTATTGGGAAAGGTATTTAGCAAAAATTTACTGACTGATTGCCTTACCAAAAAAAAAAAAAAAGAAGGAACCAATGATAGCATATACAAAGACCTTGTAGTTTAAACAAACGAACAAAAACATAAGGTGGAGGATTGTTGCAAAAGGAGACACAGCATACTGGCACACTGAGCAAGCAGAGGCAGGCAAATTTCTATGAATGTGAGACCAGCCTGCTCTACAAAGCAAGTTCCAAGAGAGTCAAAGTTATAGTGAGACATTGTCTCAGAAAACCAAATAAATAAATAAAATAAGAAACAGGATAGGTAGCAATTGAACATTGTTATCTGAACGATTTTGAAGCCTCTGACTTGTACACATCACTGTCATTTTTAAAAGTGGAGGGAGGGGAATTGGTTCATATTGTAACATGAATTATTTCTCTATGACATGTATATATGGACTTGAAACCAAATTGATATGTTTTGAATACAATGTTGACTTTCACTGTCCTCAGCCTACACTAAGCTCCATTCACTAACCAATTGGATACCAATAAAAGATCTGTAATCTCTACCAAAGGTGGAAAAGTATATTCCTAATGTGGCTTACATTTGGCCTTATCGTGGCTAAAACCCCGTCTTAAATCTTCCATTTGTTTTTCAGCATTTTGCTCTATTTAATGTGAAAAGTAAATTATAAACCAAATACACAAGCAGAAACTTTTTTTCTTTTTTCAGGAATCAGGGTCATGGGTCTCTCTTGGAAACTGACACACACACAAAAAGAAAACAGTAGCCTCAGGCAAAGATACTTGTCCCTTATCTAAGAGCCTAGCCCTTCAACGAACTGCTGTCCTAGCTGGTCTCACTTCACCTACATTCCTGTAATTTTTTTTTCCTTCTTGTGACGCACAAATAGGCTGGTGGGGGGTGGAGGTCAGGGGGAAGAGGATGTCTTTTCTCTAGCACCAAAGAAAGAAGGTATTCCCACCAACTAGAGTATCAAAAGGATACTTTAGACTTATTGATGCCCCAGTATCTCCCTGTAGTTTGTCATGACTTGACTTATCACGTCAAGTCCCAAGTCAGCTATTGGAAGAAAGAAAAGTATCTTTCTTCAGACTAACCTTAAAGACATTCATTATCCTAGGATTCTCATCTAAACAGTCTGTTATTCATAGAAAAATTAAACACAAATTAGAAAAAAGAAAGAGAAAAAAACAACTCCAAGGTCACAGCAAAATATTTATAAGTCATTGGATGACTAAAAGTAAACAAGTGTTTGCTAAGCGTATATTATGTGGCTATCATCAAAGTAAATGCAAAGCAGATTTATACAAGGGGGAGAAGAGGTGTCAGAACTCCTGCTGTATCTCCTCCTAGAGAAGCTCTAGATTTTCTTGGTTGTCCTTTTGTTTTTGTTTTTTGAAGAAAAAAAATCTATATACTACAGTTAACAGGGCTTCCAGAAAATGGTTAAACAAGACCACTTAAATGTGAAGCAACTATCCTAATAAAAATAGTCAGGTGATTAAATCTTCACTGGCATTTAAATGCAGCATAAGTCATCTATGTAATGTGTCCTCCCTGTTGTTTGTCCCCACTGACAATGAATTTTAGTAGATGCCATTATCAGAACTTTAAATTGAATTGAAGAGTAGTCAACTTTTTTTTTTAAAAAAAAATACATTGGTGAAAAGTCTTCCCAGCTTCACTGAGTGCTCATAGTTTTGCCATACCGTTTCTTAAGGTTGAAAACTTAAAGGTTGAAGCCATTAAACCAGTGGATAGTATGCTGAAGACAGCATTTTATGCTGGATTCTTCAAATTAAAGTTTTAGTATGACTAAGTCGGCTTGAATATGTGGAAGTTGGCTTATGATTACTTGGAAGATTAAAGTGCTAAGAAAATTCATCAATGAAAACAATTGGACTTTCTGATTATTTTGACATCATTCTCCAGTTTAAGAATTGCTACAGTTGCTATTTGTGGTACACAGACATTTAGAATGGAACAACCTACTTGAGGAAAGGAACAAGAGAACAAAAGGCTAAACACAATGTGGTAGACCCTATTTGTAATCAGAGCACTTCAGAGGTGGAGGCAAAAGATTAAGAGTTTAAGGGCAGTCCCTGCAAAATCATAGTGAGTTCAAGAGTCTAGTGTACATAAGATAATGTTTACGAATGAATGAATGAGAGATGGTAAGACAGAAAACAAAAGTGTTTTGTTGGCTAGTTATATGTAAACTTGACCCGAGCTAGAATCATTTTGAAAAAGGGAACCTCAACTAAGAAAATGCTCCCACCTGATTGATCTGTGGGCAAGCATGTGGAGCATTTTCTTAAGATATGGTTGATATGCCACCACTGGGTTCTATAAGAAAGCAGGCTGAGGAAAGGGGCCCAAAGGCAGGTAACAAAGTCAGAGATAACCCCTGTCCTCCACCAACTGCTAGGAGTCCCACAAGAAGACTAAGCTGCACAATTGTAACATGTGCAGAGAGCCTAGTTCAGTCCAAGGCAAACTCCCTGGTTGTCAATTCAGTCTCCATGATACCTGATGAGCCCAGGTTAGTTGATTCTGTGGTTTTTCTTGTGATGTCCTTGGACCCTCTGGGTCCTACAATACTTTCTCCCCATCTTCCCTAGGATTTCCCGAGCTCTGCCGAAAGTTTGGCTATGGGTCTTTGCACCTGTTTCCATCAGTGAAGCCTGCTGATGACAATTGGGGTAGGCAACAGTCCTCATATAGCCTGAATAGGAGAGGAGGTGTCTAGTCTTACTGCAACTTAAAATACTAGGGCTGACTGATATACATGAGAGACCTGCCTTTTTTGGAAGAAAAATGAGGAGTGGGTGGGGGCAGGGAGGGCAGTTGGAGGGAGGGACTGGGGAAAAAGGAGGGAGGGAAGGGAAACTCTGATCAGTCTGGAAAAACAATAATTAATTTTTTTTTAAAAAAAAAGGAAAGCAGGCTGAGCAACCTGTGGGGATCAAGAGGGTAAGCAGCACTCCTTCATGATCTCTACTTCACCTCCTGCCTCCAGGTTTCTGCACAGCATGGGTTCCTGCCTGTCCATGAAGGGTTGCCTGCATGTATAAGATGAATTAAAGCCTGACCTCTCCAAGTT